GGGACGGGTATCATGAAACCCGTACCCGCCCCGTTGCCATCCCTACCCGTATCCGTACTTGTTGGGTATGTGATTTTCATCTCCATCCCCGTTCCCGTTGGGTATCGGGTATACCCGTATCCGTCAAAATTTTTATTTATTTATTTTTTTTAAATATAATATTTTAATTTATTTTTTTAATTATATTATAATTATAATTAGGTTATTTCTCTATCTCATATTATAATAAATAATCACACATAAAAAATATTAAATTTTTTTAATATAATTTAATTTAAAGTAAGTATTAAATTAAAAATTGGAACGGGAACGGGTACGGGTACGGGGCGGGTAAGTACATACCCGTACCCGTACCCGATTTAATATATCGGGTTTCCAATTGATCACATTGTCGAAGGAAGGTTACTATTTGTATATGTATATCACAACGGGTACGGGACGGGTAAATAGTACAGATTTGAAAGCATATTTTGTTTCAGACCAAGAAACTGAAAATGTGGTGCAACAAAACACATCGTGATATACATATACAAATAGTAACCTTCCTTCAACAATATGATCAATTGGAAACCATTGCCTTCCAGGCTCATTTTAAAACCATCATAAGATGAAACAATTTACAAACAACTATTAGTTGTCTGGATATTGGAGTCTGTAACAGCATAATGTCATTATTCCTACTTAACAAGAAACATAAGATGAGGCTGCAAAAGTGGTTACAGCAGCATCTGGAGTATGACTCTCTGATTGGTTTGTAGCCGCAATGCCTAAATGTTGAGTCTATTGACACTGCAGTGATGATCAAGTTCCTCAAATAAACATTCTGCAGAATCCATTGTAGAATTAATTGCCAACAAAAGGGATGAAAATGAAGTAACTCCTTGCACTAACAACCTTAAAAATTGATGGATAGGATCATGCTGATTATTTTCTGCCTCCTTGTTATTGAGTGACCAAAATATTAGTTCTATCAATTTCACTGTAGCAGGTTTATAACTGAACTCAGTCACCTAATCCACCGAAGAAGTTACCAAACCATAGGATGTCCTAGTTGTGGAAGAAGCATCTCAGTTTCTGAAAGGCTGCATATGCTTAATTCTACGTGCACGGGGTCGAGCAGGAACTCTCGAATCAGTTTCATTTGAGTCTAACTGGCCACTACTATTATCAACATTTGCATTGCCATAAATTGGGATAATGCCTTCTTCAGTGACCTCTCCTTTACAAACTGGACATTCCTTCACATTTAAATACGCATATGACAACTTATGAAAGCATGGCCAACAGAACAAGTGACCACAGCAAGTCAAAACTGGATCTCTTGCTATGTCCAAACATATATTACAATGAAACATTCCAGCACAACCCTCATCCTCATCGGTATATGTTTCCACCCCCAATGCTTTAGCAATCAGATAGGTACCTTTCCTTTCACCCATTCTCCCACCTCTCACCGTCTCTTCTTCAATATCAATACCAAGCTGTTCCTGGTGCACCCTGCCTTCATCTTGAACATTACCAATTGTTACCAATTCTCCTGCATAGTTAATGATCTGAATTGGAGCATGACTCAGTGGCCGCCTCTGACGCTGCCTAGCTCTGAACACTACTGCTTCTAGGCATCTAATACGCTCTTCTAAATCAAGCTCCATTACAAACTTCAATTCTATGCACAGGTTTGTCCCATCAAAAACTCTTTCAAATGTCTCAATGCCTTAACACAAGCAAAACGAAATTTATGGTTCATACATTATACACTGATAAATAAATGATATTGATAGTCAAAACATAAACAAAGAGAAACACCAGACCCACATGATGATTCTTGCATTAGGCACAATGGAATTGAGGGTTACCATTCACCCTCCTTTACTCAAGTTAATCAAGCATTTCATACCCAAAATTTGCATAGCAAGAATCACTCTTGATGTGCCTTTAGCTGACATTCACAATGGTAATTTTAGATCGAGCGTTGACATATATAGATTCACTTTCTCTTTTTATCTCATTTTCCATTTATCCTTTTTTTTTTCTTCATCACATCACTTTATTACATTTTACACTTTCTCTCTTTACCCTTTCTGTTTCTCACCTCCTTCCCACCCCATACACCCAAAATGGGTGTCCAAGGAATAACACAAAACAAAATGCAAATAAAACCATAATTGATTATAAACTCAACAAAGTAAAACCCACACACATACCAAATTTAGATGCTGGAGAAAAGAAATAAAATTGATTCAAAAAAGAAAAAAGAGGAATTACCTAAATATTGATGATAAATATTCTTATGGGGCAATGATCAATCGGGTTTCTTGCTCTTGCTTTGAACTTGAGAGAAAAGAAATTGGGGAAAGATTATCTGGTAAACCGGTTCACAAATGGTTCTTTGAACTCAAATTTTGTGTTTCTTAGGAAAAAGTTGTAATCTTTGGGGAGGACTGTAGGTATGGAACGGATTTATGGGAATTTGTTAAAAACAAATAGTACAATCGGTTCTCTCCAATCTCAGTGCAATCCGAAACCGATTACGTGCTTTCTTTATCTTTTCTTTATTTATTTTTTTTAGTTGTTACTCAGTTGGTCTTGCTATTACACCACTTTTACCATTTAACTATATAGTCTGTTTATTGTTAAAATATTTACTCTAATAAAGACATAATTAGTTTTTATGGTAAACTTCTTTATTTATTTTTTGTTTTAAAGTACTTCTTTATCTATCTATAATTATTAATAAAGAAAATATATTTTTAAATAATTATTTTGGTATCTTTTTTAAAAAAAAAAATTGTCTATTCAATTATACAATAAATTCTTATGGATAAGAGATAAAATAGAGACAATATATATAAATAAATAAATAAATGTAACCCACTATGTAACCGTTAGAAGCATGAAGTGACTCGACCCCCTCTAATACTTATTATAAAAGGGATATATTCTGATAATCATCCTTTTGGTCTCCATTTTTTAAATAACTATCTACAACTTCTAATATTTGTTTGTGTATAACTATTAGAGGCACGAAGTACCTCGATCTTTCTAATAAAAATAAAGTGGTGCATCTCCTCGTTGAGAGTCTATGTTAAAGTCATAAATAAAATATAATCTTTAGTTAAAAAATATAGGTGTTAAATCACTTGTACCAATGATTTTTTACAAAAATATTTATAATTTTAATTTTTGTTCATAATTATAACTTAACATCATTGAGAGTGTAATGAATTAAAATTTGGGTAAAACATTAATTTGGCCTTGAAAGTGTGTATTATTGACACTTTAGTTCTTGAAAATATAAAAATTATAAAAATAAAAATAAAAATAAAAAAAGCCTCTAAAAGTGTAAAATGTTTTTTAGAGTAGTCCAAAATTTTAAAATAAAACATGCGACTTAAATGATAATATTAATTTATACATAAGAATTAAAATGATAATAAATAATTACTTTTAAAGATTTTAATGAAACAACTAGAACTTTCAAGGCTTTATTCATAATTTCTTTACTCGCATGAACTAAAATATTAGCAACATGCACTTTCAAGATCCAAAGAGTGTTTTACCCTTTTAAGGTATAATGACTTGATATTGACATGATATATTGATGTAATATTAATATAGTGTTATTTTATGTTTTATTCTCTATATTTTTTTTACTATTATTATATGTTGTTTTTTTATATGTACAATTTTTAGGTTTTAATTTTCACATAAACAATTATATATATATATATATATATATATATATATTCTTCTAAAAGTTTCAAAGGCTATTTTCCAATACCCAATGGACTCTATATCAAGCAAAGGGGAATCAATGCAAAGCAAGCATTAAGAATAGAAGCATAACACAACAATAAATGAAATAATATATATATATATATTTAGGGTTTAGGGTTTAGGGTTTAGGGTTTATGTGAGTGTGTGTGTGTTGGCACCTATATCCTTTATATTTCCTTCTCTAAATTGTTCTTATCAACACTTCTCCTTTTCTTTTATTTTATGGATTTTACTTCTTCTAAATTTTCTAATTTTCATTGACCAAAATAAGAGTCTTAATGATAGAAAGTTCAATTGTTTAGATAAAATAAAGTAGCTTGTAAGTAACAATGTTTTTGAGCAATTCCTACAATGGTGATGACTTGTAATATTGTTTTAATCTTGTTGCATAGAACAAGTTGAGATATATGATGTTCATGGACTAAATGCTTGAAGATAATTGATTCATCAAACACATATATTTTGTTGGGTCAAACACTTATTACTATATAAGTAATTTTGTATGTTTTACTCATTGTCATTAGTTGTCATATAACTTCATTTACTCAAGGTTTTCTAACACTGCCTCATAAACAAAATTGACAATGTAAAATTGTCAATTCTTCTAATGGTTGTTATACTTGTTCGATGGCACACTAGTGATTCACTCCAATAGTCTTTAATTATCAATGTGTTCCAAGTTTCTTCACAACAGTAGGAGGTGGTGTACCTACAAAAGAGACTCTAGCACTCAAATAAAATTGTCACATAGGTATCTACGTAAGCAATAAATGAATAACATCTTTTACTTTGATATACGTAACTATTTATATTAACTGTAATGTGCACTAGATCTCTGGGCTTTGGTTCTCCAAACCAATTAGGTAAATATAACCTTTAATCAAAGATTAGCTTTTATTAACTTGCTTAGTCCTAAACTATTATTATCATTGAGGTTATACCTTTCTGCATCCTTAATTATTGACCATACTGCTGGGACTTCAAGAATTAAGGATGTCAAATGGTTCCTTGGATCACGTTCTACCTAGAAAGATGTTGAAGAAGCCTTTCTTTATGTTTTGTTATCTCTCTTGTCAAATATTTGGGGGTTCCAGCAGTCAAAAGTACTTAATGAGTCCTTAGTAGTCTATTAATTCAAATAACCTTTCCAATATGGTTGTTTAAGGACCAAAAAATTGAAAATGAAAATGTTTCCACCAAACTACCACATGAGAAGATTTTTTGTAGTATTTCTCGTTCCTTTTTTTTATTTTCCTTTTCCTTATTTATGACCCCTTTCAAATATTTTACTTCACTTTCGTTCTCTTATTCTCCTCTTGTATTCTTTTTCTTTCTCTCTTGCTGTAAAAACCAATTGACTTACAACTCAAGCATTTTATATATTGCTTCATGTCAATGAGTATGCATTTTTATTATATTAATGTGATATAAAGGGTTTTATTTATTTATTTATTTATTTATTCATTTATGATTTTAGTAAATCAAAGGATGAATTAGGACCCCTCAAAATTTGTTTTAATGTTATCAAACTTATGTGTTTTTGTGAAACATAGAATGACTAAGTTATAAGTGATACCCTTAATAATATAAAATGAACATTTCAAATTAAGTCTTAAGCTTGTTCACATATCAAATTAATTTTATCCTCTATCACAAACGAATGTATTTATTATAATATTTATTATGTTTGATGTTACTATCATCTATTTTTAACGTATACCTTAATAGATAAAGAAATAAAAGCTTCTTTAGTACATGGAATGGCTATAAAATGAGGAGGTTTTCTTTTTGTCAAAGTAAATACAAGAAGATATGTCAAAGTATGCAAAGTCAGCATGAATTTGTTTTGTACTAACACACACTAAAATTCCTAACTTTTTTTACCCAAAAGTTAATAAGCAACATATTTGATAAGATAATAAGTGATCATTTGGTGAAACACGTTAAATGCACCAACAAAGACGTCTTCACACAAAGAAGAAAACGAAGGAAGACAAAGTAGGTCAGAGAGAAAGACTCGAGGGATTTTTTATAGACACAATATTATATCCCTTATCATGTCTATTTTTACTCCACAATTTAGTATCAAAACTCGGCAATTGATGGGGTTGAGCATCAAATAGTACTAAAGGAAAATACCTAGAGATAGGACGTAGTAAAAGACAATACTTTCCCGAAGATGCTTCTCTTACAAGGTCTCCTACCTTTAAAGAAGAAAACTATACATATTGGAAGGACAAAATGAAGATGTTCACTAAGTCCACCCAATATCGCCTATGGAAGACTATTACATGCGATGATATTCTTGTTACAAAAGTTAGGAGTGAGAATACTCGAGAAGTCTACAACACTCTCCAACTCAACACCAAGGTCAAACACATCTTGGTGTGCACTTTATTGATGACAAAGTATAACAAATTTTGCAGTTGCAAGACTACATAAGAAATGTGGGGAGGCATCAAGGTGACTCATGAAAGGCACTAACAATGTGAGGCTCAAAAGTCAAAAATTAAGTATGATATTTGGTTAAAATAACACAAGTGTCGAACCACTTGTAAGATATTTATGATTTTAGTTCTTGTTGATAATTATAACGTAACATCATTAAGAGTGTAATTACATGATACTAAAATGATGTTAATGTAATATTAATCTAATATTGCCCTCTCTCTTATTTTGTGGGTTTTACTTCTTTTAAATTCCCTTGTATAAATTAATTTTCATTGACCATATATGAGAGTCTCAATGATGTAAATTTCAAATGTGTTTCTTGGAAAAAAAATGAAGTAGCTTACAAGTAGCAATTTGTGTAAGCACTTCTTACGATGGTGATGACTTGTAACATTATTTTAATCTTGTTGCATGGAACACCTAGAGATATACAATGTTGAAGAACTAAATGCTTAAGGATGCATGATGTGTAAACATTAACTTTATTCCCTAAATTTGAAATACACTATTATATTGCCAATCCACCTCACCATGTTTCTTTGGTGGCTTAACTCACCACGCTTTGCTTTAGGTGGGTTGACTCACTTTGTCACCCCTTCATACTGGTCCTTAAAGCTAAGAAAATGTCAAATAATTTTCTAGAATGTCAAATAAATCCTTAATTTAACTATTTGCTATTATTTTGGTGCCTAAATATATGTCAAAGTTATTACTTTAGTCATACATTTTTTTAGTTTTTGGACTAATATGATTACGAATTTTCACGTTCAAGGATGTATTTAACAATTTCTTAGTTTTAGGGACTAGTATGACAATTCTTTCCAAATTCAAGGATCAATTTAGATATTTACTCGATACATGATGTATCAAACACTTACTTTAAATTTTCTTCGTCAAACACTTACTACTATATAAGTAATTTTTCATGTTTTACTCAATGTCATTAGTTATCATATAACTTCCTTTACTCTAGGTTTTCTAACATTATCACATAGTCAAATTTGATAGTGTAAAACTAGCTAGTTTTTTGTTCGGATGTAGGTGTTTTTCTAATTTTGGTTTTTGTTTTCCATATGAATTATTGATGTAGGAAGTGATGGAATAATGCCCAAGGATCAATTCAAAAAGAACGAAGAGGAGTGGGCTAGGCATAAAAGAGAAAGACCCAAACTTGTGTTGAGCTTTGGGTTATGTATTTGTATCCATATCTTATTGTTTGTAAATATTTCTTTTTCTTAATTTTGACCTTTTATTTCGAATCAATAAGAAAAGGAATTTATTTCTTGTAATTTTTTCCCTTAGGAGTGTACCTAGTGTTCTAAG